AGATAGAGAGAGAGACAGAGAGAGGGACAGAGAGAAAGAGACAGATAGAGAGAGACAGAGAGAGAGAGAGGCAGAGAGAGAGAGAGAGAGAGAGAGAGAGAGAGAGAGAGAGAGATAGTTTTGTATATCTTTAATTTTGAATTATGCCCCTATCAGCGAAATTAAGAATACTCAGAAGGTGAGCTTCAGGCCGTGCAGAGCGGAATAAAACGTCCATGCAAAAGTACCGAGACACGATAAGATACATTCTCTCTACATGGGATTCGAACTCAGGTCTCTTGAGTGCCCAAGGGAAGCGTCTAACTGCTAGACCACAGACGTCAGTAGAGAATTAATAACACAGCAGTGCACAAAGAAGAAACAGCTAAAATGATAATCAGATGCAGAACATTTTGGAAGAAGCAAACTGGTGCGTCTTGATAAGTCAGTAGGGTTTCGAAAAGTTACTATGTCAACTGGATTGATCTTTTTCTCTTTTTGTTTCTTTAAAAAAAAAAAAAAAGCAACATACGTTGGCAGTAGTATCTGCTTCTTAAACATTGATCAAGTTTAATTTCTGAAAACACCTCTGCGTAACACATGAATACAGCTGAAATGTGCAAGGGGAAAACAGACTATGCCACTCTTTCGCATTTTGAGAAATAAAACAAAACTCTTGTTTTTCCAAACGAAATCTTATTTTATCAAGATAGATACTGAGAGACTCGCCAGGCTTAGAAGGGACAGAACGGGCACGTGAACATTTTCAACCTATGCCACAACTCAAGTTGTCAAAAAACAACAAACTGACATCTCATTTCCCCTTTCAATACAACAACTTTAAAACATACCTGTGCTGCTGTCTTCTGCAACGCCTTCTTCTTACGTCTGCACTTTGTGGCTGCTCGTCTGTTCTGTTCTTTCCTTCTTTCTCTCTTCTCCATCTCAGCTTTGGTCATCTGGAAGAAGAAAAATAATGTATAATTAATGGAAAATGTCCATTTGTTTCGAGTAGGTATTTCATCTTGCAGACAGACAGATAGACATAATATAGATAGATAGATAGATAGATAGATAGATAGATAGATAGATAGATAGATAGATA